AATCCTGTGTTTTGCTGCTTATGAATGTTTGAGAGACAACCCCAATTATGTAGGTTTCATAGATTTATGTCTCAATAACTTGTTCTCATCTACTATTGTGGAATCAGGTTCAGTAAGAAGAACAAGGACAGCATCAATCTTTACTTACACATGCCCTTTGGAAATGGACCCAGAAACTGCATTGGCATGAGGTTTGCTCTCATGAGCATGAAGCTTGCTCTCATCAGATTACTGAAGAACTTCTCCTTCCATCCTTGCAAGGAAACATAGGTCAGGACAATTTATGAAAAAGTAAGGTCTTGTGGGTAGTTACAGTTAGTTGAGAAACCTATTTAGAGAAAATATCTGCTTATTCAAAGAATCTCTTTTGAGACACTTGTGCGATGTTAGGCTTCTTCAGTTTTGGAGCTCTATATCTTTGGCTTTATAAAAAACAAGAGTTTAAAGATCAGGTAGAATCCATTGAGAGTAAGCTGACATGCTTATGTGCAGTGTTTTTGAACTTTATCATAGTATAAACTCGATTACAATTCAAATGAGGATAAGGCTGCTTTACATATTCAATCCTGAACTGGGAAAATCATGTTTGGATGATGTCAAGTGCTGTTTACCTCAACATAACTTATGGAAATTTTGTCACCGTTTTTCTCAACAATTTTCTGAACATTGAAATCAACATAGAATTTTAAAAATACGAGATATTTGGGTCATCTCCAAAATTCTAAAATCACTTGCCTAGAGTTTGACTCTGAAAGCTCTCTGTTTGTCTTATTTTCAGACAAAGTTGAGAAACATTGACATCAATCATTTCTTAAAGATAGGAAGGATTTATGCAGTTCAGCATTTTCCTAATTGATCCAACCTTCCTGAAGTCCTGTTTCATAAAAACTATTTTTACATTTTATTAGTTACACTTTGAATCTTATTTCCCCATTTTCCTCATTCTATTCTCATATTTCAACTTCCAGTTCAATCCCATACTCTTCTAAGGAGTCCTCCCATCAATGTAGACCCATTCATTCATCTCTTTTGATATTGGTTACTCCAAACTTTTATGATCATGGAAGTTAACATTTTGTCCCAAAAGTAAAATTCTTAAGCCTCAAAACAAAACGACAAATTATTCAGATATATGTTGGCAAAAGACATGGATAGATATTTCTTCAAAATAGTGAATCTGATTTATCTTTCCTATGGACATAGATGAATACCTTATAGTGAATTTTAATCATACACATCCACAAGCCTGGGATTTTAATTAGAATATGATATACTTTATGTTTTTATAAACAGATCATGTATAACTAAAAAGAATAAATAAAAAAAGTGATTAACATTGCTCAGAATCAGTAACCAACAGGAAAATTCATATCAAAACCACGTAAGATGCCATCTCACATCCACTACAATGTCTAAAATAATAGATGGAAACATAAGTGGTTAGGAAATAAATGAAGTAATTGGAACTTTCATGTATTTTTGGAAAAAATATTAATGATACAGCTATAATGTAAAACACTGACAGAAGTATTTGTAAGGCAGCAATTTCACTCCTGAGTATACACTCAGATAAAATTGAAAACTAGAAAAAAAAGAAAAAAAATTGAAAAATAAAGTTCACAAACAAGTTTCACACTAATGTTCATAACAGCATCAATCACAATAGCCAAAAGATGTAAATAATACAAATGTCCATCAACTGATGAAAGGATAACTAAATAGATATACAGTGGAATATTATTTGGCCATAAACATGAAGTACTGATATATATTTCACTTCAAAACAAAATGCTAAATGATATCACTTTGCATCACAAAAGACCACATATTACATGTCTCCATTTTTATAATGTATACATCATATGCAAAGCTAAAAATATAGAAAATATAGTAGTGTTTATTTAGGATAAATGATTTTGAAAGCTGACAGTTAAAAGATAATGAGTTTTCTGAGTTTTGACAATGGTGATGGCTGCATGTATCATTTAACATGCTAAAAGTTATGGAATTTTACATTTAAGGAATCAAAAGTATATAAATAATATCTTAATGAAATTGTTATTTTAAATGAAAAAAGAAATGGTAATCCACATACCAATTATAAGAAATAAATATTTGGAGGACATCTGAACCAAGAATGTTCTTGGCTTTTTTCACAAATATATCTTGTGGATTGTTGAAGGAATTGACATTAACTCCAAAGAATGTGTTAACGATCACATCCACATTGTAGCTCCCCAAACTTCTGAGTAGAGAAAAAAATGTAAAATTTTTATCTGCACTGCTTTACTCTCCTACTACACATGCTAGAAGAAGTGATATGAGCACATTCACACACTGTCAGCAATATCTGTTGAACAAATGACTAGTTCCTGCTCCTATCAAATGCCATGAGGCAGCTGCCCCTGTGCCAGGGGGGCAAGGGACATTAGGGTAGTGAGCTCAAGGAGTTCAGTCACAGAGAGACAGACACCCATAATCAGACAAATTACATCAGTGAGTGGAGTGTAGATGATAAAAGATGATTTAAGTATGGAGCTTCAGCAGGACCAGGGTGTTATAATTGACAGCTAGTAGGCCATCCAAGATAGGTGACCTTGACCTAGGTCCTGCCTAAGCACAGTCTGTGCCCAGAGCTGATTCCTCTCTAGCACATCACATAAAAGCAACACACTGTTCTGAGATGCAGAAACATTGTCCCCTATTCTTTGCACTCACTGCTACAGCTCCCGAGAGGTCCTGCACTCCAAGATATAAATTGGCCCCAAAGGCAAAATCTCGCAAAAGAGAATGAGTAAGAATATCCTCAGTTAAAATATTGAAAATCTTCTCAAAATGTACTTGGATGATCTCACTACTTGGTGAAAATATTCTCTTCAGATTTTCCATTACAGTATTAGAGGTTGTACATGGGTCAAAATAACCCATTTTATAGAAAAAATAATGTGGTAGTTGGAATCCGTATGCTGTGAGGACCCTATCTCTGTGGAAATTAAAGGAAGAAGTGTTAGGAATAATTTATATTTTTTATTTTACTGACATTCTCAGTGCAACCATGAAGAGATTTGTTGTTCCATAGCCTGCATTGTATTTTTCTATCCCTTATGAATAGGTACCAGAAACGTCCCCCAACAACATTCCTTGTGCTCTACCCTCAACTTCTGAGTGATCACATTCTTCATCTTAAAACGTGTTTTTACTTACAGAATATCCACATTGATGATAAAGCAGATAAACTAATTCTGTTTTTTGTACACAGATGTCCCAGCTGCCCCGCCTTCTCCTGGGAGCCTCTCCTCCTTGGGTGGCCCATTGTGGTTGTGACACCACACACTTGCTTTTGTCTGGTCAGGGAGTAGCTCAACAGTAGTAACTTCAGTTTCCTGGCAGGCTGCTGGAAGGTCTTAAAACAACTCAGAAGCCCAAAGGTGGCCTGCTACTTACTCCTTCACAGTGACAGGCTCACCTTTCTTCACTTCCTGGCTCAGGTACTTCACCAATGCTTCTCCATATTGGTTAATGATGGGGATTATCTAAGCACAAAACTCAACTTCACCCACAGCTAGAGGAGAATCGAGTCCCCAAGGCTCTGGTTTTCCCAGGATTATAAAGTATGAGATATTTTAGGAAGATGGCGGCGAAGAGAGTGCATCACCCCAGTGCGCCGCGTCACTGTGCGGGAGAAAGTCGAGGTGAAACGGCTGAAGTCTATCTTGTTGGGAAATTCCAGTGAAATTGAGGTGCTTCAGAATCTAATGGACGGATTTCTATCACGCGAGGTTCGGCTGCGTGGGCTTGGTCGCAGGCAATTTCTCCGCATGGAGGGTCGCATTGCCTGATTGGCGGAACGTCACGCAGCTGGAGTCTGCGGCGCGCACTGGGAAGCTGCGAGGTGCCGGAGCAGAAGTGCAGTGATTCAGATTCTCGGGGCTTCTGCCAGTGGTGCAATGGCCTCACTTAGTGCTCTGTTCCGGCTTTGACACAGAGGAGAGAAGCGGTCCAGTTTGGTTCTCGACATCGGTCGGACCATGGAGGAGGACAGCAGCTGCCACCTTGGAGAGCTGATGTAATCATCCCTGTTTTCTACTGATCTCAGCTCATTCAGCTACAGAACAGGTGATTTTAGGCTGGTATTTGCCTGCGTCTCGCAGACAGATTGCTCAGGCTCGGGGCTGAAGAACTGGTGGGGAATATTCCTGAGGGCTCGCTCCTGGCAAGGCATGCGCGGGGCTCTGAGCGGCCAGATTCTGGTTCATGGAGCTGCTTTCGCCCAGGGCTGGTGAAACTGCGGAGACTGCGTGTTGAGGCCAGCTCCAAGTGGAGCATGCGCTGAGCTTGGGGTGGCTGGGTTCTGACTCCCAGAAGAGTTTTGGCCCGGGGCTGGGGAGCCCGTAGGGACTGCGTCTTTGAGCCTGTGCCCAGCGGAGCGTGCACTGAGTTCGGAGAGCTTGGAGCGGCCGGGCTCTGGCTCCCGGAGCTTCTTTAGCCTGAGGCTGGGAAACCCGCGGGGGTCACTCCTTGGAGCCAGCTCCCAGTGGAGTGTGCTTTGGGATCGAAAAGGCCTGGTTCTGGCTCCCGAAGCTGCTTTGGCCCAGGGCTGGGGAACCTGCAGTGACTGCTTCTCTGTCTGGGTCTTGCTGGGTGCTGTGGGGGCCAGGTGGGGGGGCAGAGTGGAGCTGCAGCCTGTGCCCAGAGCAGGCCAAGTGACCCGCCGGTGTGGTAGCACGACACCCCAACTGCAGCTGCGGTCAAAGAGAGTAGCCGCCCACTCCTAGAAAAGGACCAGCGACCCAACAGCACGGTAGCCAAGTCAATCCATTTGGAGTAGGGGCTGTGCAGACCGCTGTCTAAGCCTGTAAGGTAGGCAGACCTGTGACCCACTGGCAGGACAGGCCCGGTAGCCTGCCAACGTGGTGGTCACGTACCACCGAGGCAGTCACGTCATGCTGGTTGGAGTGGGGGTGGAGCAGGGCCGCCGCCTGTGTCTGGAGGGGGCTCAGCGACCCGTTGGAGAGGCAGTCAGTTACCCCCATTGGGAGTGGGGGCTGTGCAGAACTACCGCCCGAGCCCCCAGGATGGGCAGACCTGTGACTCTCCAGTGGAACAGGCCTAGATGCCTGCCAGCGTGGTAGACACGTCACACCAATTGGAGTGGGGACCGAGCAGAGCCGCCGCCCACATCCGGATCAGGACCAACGACCCGAGGGTTGGTAGTTACGTCACTACAATTGGAGTGGGGGCAGAGCAGAGCTGCCACCCACGCCTGCAGG